TCGACAGTTCCTTTCGAACAACCACGTGCATAGACCCGCCAAAGGGTATGGAGTGGGGTGTGGGGATTTCAGGTTGCCTCTTCATCATGACAAAACAGGAAAGATATGTCCGGTCAGGCTTGATGTACAAATGCTCCTGTTGCGCTTCACATTTTCTTGGAAGTGAGACTATCCGCGGTGGCTGTTTTGACCTTCCTTCTTTCTGCGGACCAACATTTGTACATTGAAAGCTTTTGCCCATCCAGAACTTTTGGGTACATTTGATCTATGCGAATGTAAAATTTTCGTGACCACGGAATGGTCTCTTGCCGAAGTCCCAACAGGGTCGGCCTTTGCCAGTGTATGCATGATGCATACCGAGATTCTGTGCTCCACAGGCTTGCCATGGGTGGCAATGCGCAATGGATGTGGTCCATCCTGTTATGGCAAATGCTAAAGAAAATGAACCCCATCCGGACGCATCCGTGGCCGCGACGGGTAATTATCAGGCCTACCTTGAGAGCGCAAGTACTGGCAGCCGTATGCTAGGTGCTTTCAAATGCAAGCAACTTCCGAAAACACTCCAAAAAGTTATTTTGGCTATGCAGCTTGGCTGAAACGGGGAACAAAATAATTTTAAATGGCGATTTATTGGCCAGCCAGGAGCTCCACTCGCAGCAATGAAAGCTGATGCCATTTCGCAAGTCGTGCTCCTCAAACCCTGCTCGCACTGCGCCGTTGCTGCCACCATCGGTATGCTGAAAGCAAGTAGAATATTCGACAGTGCTGCAGTTTCAGAGCCCGGGCTGCACGCTGGAGACTGTGAGCATAAAAATGTTGGGACTTCATGGATGCCCAGTCTTGTGGGGATCGCATCTCAGGATTCTCTTATCGATGCACATGCCTATCATCAATCCATCATCGTTCTTGGAAAGACATGTATATAATGCATGTGTTGTTTTGCATTTCCGTCGTGCGCGGTCAAGCCCTGAGGGCATCCCATACACTGCCTTTCAAAATCGTGACCGAAGATATTACCAAGAAGACCCACCAATCATCAGTGCACGAAACAGCGACATGTCGCCCTATTACTCATGAACGGCCAATGCAAACGACAAATAACATGCAACCCTTCTCACAGAAAATAGCACAGGCAGCTAACGGAACAGGAGCAGTTACTAACGCATTTAGAACAGCAGTTAAGGGAAGACACTATTTTGATTTTGGTACGCTCGAAATTAAATTGACGTTGAACTCAGACACCTTACCCCGCCCCACTCACCCCACCCACTTCCTAGCTTCAATGCTTATTTTGACGCCTCCCACAATATTCAAAGACTGTGTATTGAAACACGAAAAAGCTAGGGTCATTGCCGCCGTACAACATCCTCACAGCGCCACATAGGTTGGTGGCATACATTCATAATACATGTCACAGTACATTACATCCTTCCGCATGATAACCTAACGTTGGACATTTTTCCATTATGTTTGGCATATCTGCATCAGAAGCAACTTACATATATCTGTTTCACTGCCCACAAATTTCAACATGTTGCACAATCGGTTTTCGAAAACGATCATCATCATTTGGAAGTGCTTTTCAGCCGTCCGCCAGCACTTCTCAGCGCTCGCGGCATTATTTATGTTGTCACTATGCATGTCATAATTGCATCAGAAACAATACACCAATGTCTGTTTCACTGTCCAGAGTTCTCAGTCTGTTGAACAATCGTTTTCGAGGAACCATCATCATCGTCTGAAAGCGCTTCTCAGGCACCTGCGCATCCCCGCGCTGCCCACTCTGCCACCTCAGGCCAAACCACAATCGCGCGGTAGACCATCCTGAGCTGGAGCCAACGTCAGCCGCGGAACAGTAGATGCCCACGTCGTGAGGATGGCGCGCAGTTCTAGTGTCACCTCTGGATCCCGAACACCCGTCCACCCCGCCAATCACCAGCTTGCGCAGCCATCCGTGGGCAGGTCATGACGGCTGTGCCCTTTGTGATCACCAGAGCGATTTGTGGCAGCCGCAAAACTGCGGCATGAGCCATGGTCGCTGCCACTGCGGCCAGAGCGATTTGTGGCAGCCGCAAAACTGCGGCATGAGCCATGGTCGCTGCCACTGCGGGCACTGTGATCACGCCCAAGCCCCTTTGCTCCATTTCACACATTTTGGTATGCGTTTTCTGATGATTGGACAGCGTTTTGGACCCCTCTTCCCTCATTTTGATTTTGGTGCAATTGCATAGTTTCACAGTTTCTTAGCGTCAGGCCCTTTAGCCCCCCAACCCACCCACCCCCCTCTTAACATCAATTTGGCGCTAAGCGCACCAAAATCAAAACGGTGCCTTCCCTAATTAGGGAATTAGGTCTATTTTATAAAATGGACAGGGTCTTGCCGTTGGTCAACTGCAATCCGCCATTCAAAAATTTCATTCCTGCCTGCACGAGAACTCATGTGACCGCGTCCGTTTGTCCAATTGAAAAATAACAGGTCCCAGAAAGAGTTCGACATCGAACATAGTAGCCGACAAATGATCGTGGTGCTGTGGAAGTTGCAGGGAAGGGCCCACAGCTTCCTCACGGGATCCTATGATGAAAGCACTTTTCTCTAAACTGCACAACCTCATTGGCTCGTAGCTCTTTGATGTAAGGTACCTCAAGGTTCATCCACAACCTCATCAGACCCTCATTGGAACTCATATTTCACGTTGTGAAAGAAAAGTGTCATATCCAAGAAACGACAGATTCCGTCAAAAAATTTGCAAACCCTGCGTGAGTCGCTACTGTTCCGTTACAACTAGCGCCAATCCTCAATAGCTTGCAACGTTGCTAACAAGCTGTTCTTTTCTATTCATGCCGTGGCACCTTGCTTGGGCTCTGCCAAGCAGCCGCCCACGTGTTGAAGACCCGTTCGTCGACCAGAGTTGCCACAAGGCTGCCCGCAACCGATCCACTCTTTGAACAGGTTGTCGTCAATGGCACCACCCCCGCACTGCCCACTTTACTACTATTATTACTACCCGCTACCGTCCACGCGGCTCGGACTCAGTACCGGTACCGGTATCGGTGCCGGTCCCCGTCTGGGTATCAGTCCAGGTACAGTTTCCGGAAACGGGGCATTGGTAACTACGCATGGGCTCGTTGCACCCACAAACCACTGCTCCCAAACCGCTGCCCCCGAACTACTGCCAACAAAGTACTGCTCGTGAACACCTGCTCGCACACCACCATTCGATTTGCCGCGCGCCCGCACCCACAACGCTCGCGTCGGTGCGACCGCCGCCGCCAAGAGGTGAACGCCGCGGCGGAGTGGTCAACTCGCTGCAGGCGGAATCGAGGGCGTCCTGCCAGGTGCGCGGGTTCCGCCGACAGTTGGACGGCTGGCGTGTCGCTCTGGGGGAATCTGGCGGAGGGATTCTCCCCGGGAGGGCGCTGGACTCCCTGAAGGTGATGGGCTCCCTGCACTTTCTCTCGAATCCCTGACCTACCTGGGTTCCCTGCACTCTCTAGGATTTCTGGGCTTTCTGGGCCCTTGCATCTTGTGGGTGCCCTGCACTATCTGGGCGTTCTGGGTTCCCTGCATTTTCTGGGCTCGCTGCATTTTGGGGTTTTCCTGGGCCCTCTGGGACCTTGAAGAGGCAGTGGAGCGAGTGCCTAAGGGCAGGGCGGGGCCGCGTCCAAACAGGAACGGATTCTTGATGGTGACTTCGGGTTTGCAGCTCTCCGCTGCGCCCGAGTAGGCAGCACGATGGGAGGCTGGCGACCACTGGATGCGGAACCCAACGCAATAGAATGTGGGCTGAAGGGTGTGCTGGGCAGATCCGGAGCCGGAGGCGCGGCATAATGGAGGCGCTGAAATTCATGTCAGCCACAGCTGTGGCACCCGATTCCTGGCTGTGTTACTCCAGCATGATGACCACAATTTGGCCACAGTGTACTCTCTGTGGCACCATCCAGCAGAGGAGCTATTTTGTGCCGCACCCACTCTATCATGGTTCAGCAGGCTCGTGCATGGACAACGCAAAAATGCCTGTGCTTCCCAGGGGTTTCCTGCATTCTTTGAGTGCCCTAGCCATTTGAAGGGAGTGACTATTGGGCACCTGCTGCCCAAGTGCTTCTCAGGAGCCATAGTTTTGATGCTTGTTTTTCACCTGCGATGGGCACTGACAGACCCAGCCCAGATTGGAGTCTGCGTTGACCACATGAAAGGCGCATGTATCAGGAACATGTCCAAGCACCAAACTAGTGTGTTTTGATTCATGTCAACTACCTTGCCCCTGGCCCTGCATGCCATTGCTGCCTAATTTACTTTGTCGGAATTGATTCAACGTAGCTAAACTTGCATCCAAATAGAAATGGGGCAAACACGTTGGAATCGATGGCAGGCAGGCATAACCTTTTTTGTTATCTCATCTGAGCCATGGATCCACTCACCACCCACAGGCAACACAAACAGACAGTGGCTCACAAGAGAAGAAGCTGAAATCTAAAACATGTCCAAGTGCATGGCAAGAGAACTGTGTTTCGCCCAGCCAGAAATGCACTACACATCCTGGAATCCATTGTTGAGCACCATTTCTGGCACTCAGCGTGGAGTGCTGAGCCTGTGGCGCACAAAAACCTTTGCACCATCTGTGCGATATGCAAGCACTTCTGAAGGTCTTGTCCACAAGGGGATGTTCTTTGTGCGACTTGTGGTTCGTTCTCAGTAGAAACTGTCAATGTTATTTTGTTGCATTTTGTTGTTTTGTTGTTTGTCCACCGGAACTTTGTCACATTGATGGCACTTGACAGAATTTCAGCCGCTACATTCATCAAAGACATGGCAGAGCACTGTTCTTTCACCAAGCTGGTGATGTCAGGCAATAACAAATGTGAGAGTCTGGCATCCCTCCTTTTGTATTTGTGTGAATGGACTTACGCATGTGTAAGTGCTCTTGTTGCTATTCTTGTGACACAGTCTGGAATGAGTGGTGTGTGGTGGTTGTTGCAGAGCACGCTGATTTGCAGTTTGCATGGAGGTTGTTGAGCCTCACAGCGTTGTGAACCAGGTCAGTACATCGGGCACAACAGACCGGTCACCACTGCAGCTTTAGTAAGACAAAGGGGGAACTTTGCTATGTGCTATGTTTCACTGGCTGTAGTCTAACAACTTCTGCAAGTTCATTGAAAGCTGTTTTATGAACATTGCTGCAGGACTCATCCCATCCATCTTGATTGTGCCCAGGTTTGCTTTATGTTGAGAAATTGCCACAGGGTGATGGTTGGCTTGAATGCTGCCTCAATGATTATAGAAATTGCGACCATGTTGTCTGGATGCAGTTCATGTGCTCTCTGCTATTTGGAAAATTGGTATGCGAAAGTAGTCAGACTAGTGTTTCGAAAGCCGAACTAGTGTATTTGGCTCATTGGAAATGCTGTGAAGATGCATACCCAAGATTCATAACATCCATGATGTGCACAGATAAGTACTTCCTCCGTCCAAGATTAATTGTCTTTTATGAATTTGGGGCATTACTTCTGCATCCTATCAACATTATTTTCCAATGAAATTTCACCCAAACTTGTGCTTGTGAGGTTGGAGGATACTATCAAATTTCAGGTCACTCCATAAAAAGGTGAGGATTTGGTAGTACTTTGTGCCAAGGGCCTCCTGGCCAGAAAACGGTCGGTTGTCAACGTGGTAGCAAAAACAGCCGTTTTTCGCTGTTGTGAGGAGCACGCATTTGCAACAGTGAAACAAAACCGCACATGCAAAACTATCCATGCCGTCCAGAGGGAAGGTCACCACAGTGCTTGCAAAGAGGTACGGCGATAGAAAACATGTTTCGAAACCGCTGATCATCAAACTCGCCATGGCTTGCGGCTGGAATTTCAAGCTCGATCCAGTGAGTTAGAATTATGATTTGGGCCCAGAATTCTGGCCAGAACTTTGCAGTCTCCATCGCTGCCACGAGGGCAGCCGCGGGAGGTCTCCCAATCCTCTCGACAAGGTACAAGACAAGGTGATGGCCATCGCCCCAGTCAATCGCACATAAGTAGTGAGTTGGCCATTCTGGTGTTAGTCACCAATTGATCTTGTTTCGGCGCTTGAAAAGATCGGCAGTTAGGAGAATGGCTAGAAGGGTAAAGTCGTGCCTTGTAAAGCAACTGAGACTCACTAGGCTGAGATGGATTGTGTATCGGGCACAAGAATTGGCCGCAAGAGGCTGTTTGTGGATTCTAGGCTGGGTTGCACACGAAAGCCTCAATGCAAGCATCAATTGAGGCAGAATGTCCAGGTAAGGCTGCAAAGCAACCTTGGAGAGATAGCCCGTGCTCAAACCAGGCTTCAAGGTCTTGGACCTTGGCCTTTGTCACTCAGCACAGATCCGCACATCGGAGATCGAGAACATCGTGGATTTATAGCATCTTCGTTGCCATGACAGTGACCACCCTCGAGAAGGATCCAAGCGCCGTTGAGTGGGTTGGCAAGAGCTACGCCACGTGCTGGATGCCTACCTTCGCCTTGGCAGTGGCAGTGACTGTCGTTGCTACTTGCCAGCAAGGGAGCAGCCTAGAATTGTGGCTTCTCTGGGAACGCAGAATCTGAACGGGCTTTTTTTGGACCGAACCAGGGCAATTTTCGGAGGCCACTCACAGGGGTGTGGGTTGACTGTTTTCCTTTAGATTTGGAACTTAAGAGATTTGAGACCCGATCTTTCCGATTCTGGCCTCCTTTTTTAATTCAGATGCTGTTTTCATAACGAAATTTGTCACTCAAATAAATGACAATTCGTATATTCGTTTGTTCGATATATAACTTGGACAGAGGAAGTATCTTGTTCAATACCCATGACGTGGGCGAAGATATGGAAAGCGTCTAGAATATGGCATCTTTCCAGAACTGACGCCATGATGTTGGTGACGAAGGTAGCGTGTATGATATCGTATTCAGCTCATTCCCCTACCCTTGTTGAGTCATGCACAGTTCTTGTTGCCTGACAAGCATTGTTGTGTAGGTAGTGTAGTGAATGTTAATACTGCTGCAGTGTCACTCAGCAATACCTCTTTAAAAATTGCTAATGTGTGATATTGAACAACACTCATAGAAGCATGTTCATTTTACTCTTCAGGATGGGAGCCCTTGCCCAGATTGGGGCCATCTACCATTCGACGTCCTGGGGGCCATCGACAACGCCCTCAACGGCAGGCTCTCCGCGACTTCCTCCGTAATAGAAGCTGCCCGCCTCGTGAATCGGCACTGGGGCCGCTGGGGCACTGAGTACGCCTCGGTGCTCAGAATCTCGAGAGAATCCACAGCCTGGGAACGGGCGCCACCCGGGGCAACCTCCCCCACCTGGGAATTCATGCTGGACGCGATTGCCAGAAAGTTCGTTGGAGTTCGGAGTTTGACCTGCGTGGACATTTCAGACGAGGGGATGGCACATGTGGGGAAGCTTACTCAGCTGACGCGGTTGGATTTGGACCGGTCTTATGACGTCACAAATGCGGGCGTTGAGCATGTGGGAAAGCTGTCGCGACTCACACACCTGGACCTGTCCCTGTGCCACGGGTTGACAGACGAGGGGTTGGGGCACGTGGCGAGGCTGACCAGTCTCGAGTGGCTGGCATTGGGGTGCTGCTTGTCGATCACAGACCGGGGGGTGAGGCTGCTGGGGGACCTTAAGCACCTCAGGTACTTGGATGTTCATGGATGTTGCGGTGTCACACAGGCATGTTTGAATGAGCTGACAGAAGGAAGGGTTGCTGCGGAACCAGATCAGAGTTAGGTTGCAACAAGAGCACCAGCCGAAATCGTTGTTGTCTGGTGTAGTAGGATGTATTTGTATAATTCTTTTGTTCTTCTGTAGTTTTCAGCTCGTTGCTGACCACATCTCTATCGAGGTAAATGACGGTTCTGTTGTCTCTGATGTCGAAGAACATAAGTAGATTCTGCCCCCTGGATCCATGTCCTAGAAGCTGATGCAATAATGCCGACTTCGCCTACCATTTATTGTGGTTGTTTAAATCTCACGTGGGTCCATGTTTCAAGCACCTGCAACAATTTTGCTGCTTTGGACAATGAACACATGGACTTCCCGCCACCAAGGATCTCCTTAGACATCAATTGCCTTGTTAGATGCGCTATTGTGAAAATCCTGTATCAATGAACTCCCAACGTGCTATGTTGGTTGAAGCCACGTTCTGCCACTTAAGACCCTGAATTGCAGTGCATCACAGCCATTTCGCGCCCTTGTGGGTTCCTTGACCTCAAGGATGCCGCAACACGGCTGGCCAATTCTCAAAGCCCGGTTCAATACGCTGAAACCTTGTCATCCCACGTTTGGTGCGCTGATGGCTGCAACCCAACTCTCATCTTAATCCCATTGTCCACTGGTCTACTGCACGAACATCCTCTGAATTGCCTTGAACACGGCTGCCGCCATGAGCTCTATTTCTGCTGTCCGCCAGTCTTCCACTAAATTTGTGGCCATTTAGGCAGAATTTTGTGGAGTCGCCTTCATAGCCTCAATGGCGTACTCCAATACAGAGGAATAATCGATGATTCTTCTGTACTGCGATGTGCCATTGAGATTATGAGGCGATATCGCGATTTCCTCGCCCTGCCATGATCTTGCCGATCTGTCCCAACCAGGTCTAAATGCCCTGCTCTGCTCCGCCACTCGAATTGTGATTGCTGGCAGCAGGCACTGTCGACTGTACATTGTGATTTTAACACCGCTTGAAACTCTGCGACACGCTATGGGTGGCACGACCATCGGGAAAGCCCTAAGGACAGCTCTGGGAAGGATCCAGCTATCCGACCCGCGAATCTGATGATCATAGGGGAACGGGGATCACCAAGTCACGACGCCGCTGGCTATCCTCGTCGCATTCCGCGCCACCGGGTCTTTGATGCGGCGGTCGTGCACCATCGTATTGATACGATACTGTACCTCACATGTATGCCACAATATTGTGCCCTGTACCGGACTTTCTGTGCCTCCGAATTGCGTGAAAATTCTTGATCAGCGACACTGAAATGATGTTCGATTCGCACATCAACGCTGGCCATTGCGTCGGCTGCGCATTGTTGGAACCGCCTATTCGAGAGCCAACCGACAGACGATTGATTGAGCTTGGCGTCGCTTCTTGTTTCTGGCAGGTACGGGGCAATTTCGTCTCGGCAGCAGGGATAAGGATCGAAACAATCAAGCTGATGTGCAGCCATATTGGATGAACCCAGGTGTGGCAGCGTGCCTCCGTGAAGTTGGAGCCACAACTCATTGTCCTGCATCACTGCCTCATCCTTTTTTTTTCCTCCACCCACCGACCCACCCCCAAAAAGACAAAAAAAATCTATCATGGCCTTGCTATGTTAAAATGAGTGATGACTGGTTTATTGGTTGATTGACCGATTGATGGATGGATGCCGCGATGCATCAACGCGGATGGATGGATAAAGACCTGCGATTCGATGCCAGTTTTCACGCCCTGACCCATGGGTCAGGGTCCAGATTCGTGAAACTGTGCCGACGACATCGGCGCGTCGCTTCCGCCGACGACGGAGCTCTGGACGCCACCGCCCGGGCCCGCCACCTCGGCGGGCGACCTGTCCTCGGGCGCAGAGAATCTGGCCCCGCGGGGCCGCCCCGCTACAAAAGTCCACACGCGTCGCGGCCCAGCCGCCGCCGCGTCAACAAATTCGCGTCCGCCGTGCGGGAGAGGCTCCCGCCTCCAATAACTTTCGCCTGCTCCCCCTCGCCTAGCTAGAGTTACCGAAGGGCCGGAGAGGCGGCCGCACCGCGAGCTTGGCTCCTCGAGAGGTCGACCAGGAACAGCATGTCTTGGTGCGATGTTTTGGCGTTTTGGTGCAGACGTCCGCGCCGTCGCTGGCGACGCATCGCCACGGCGCAGTGCAGTTGTCCGCCTCCTCCTGCCCCTCGCCTAGATAGAGCTATCGCAGGGGAGGAGTGGCGGTTGTCCGACGATGAGGCCGTCGATCGACATCATGGCATGGATTCCATGCCATGGAAAAATCACAACGCCCCGTCGCCGCATTAGGGGAGTGCCGGCGGACAATTTCCGCCTCCACCAGCCCCTCGCCTAGCCAGAGTTATCGAAGGGGCTGAGGAGCGGCTGTCCGGCAGGAAGGCCGTCGAGCGGCATGCAGGGTCTCTTGCTGACCCGCGCCGTCGGCGGCGCAACACCGCGATGTCGCCGAGTATGATCGTCCGCGCGGGCGGCGGCTGCACTTCCGACGGGCGCGCGCGCCGAGCAAATGACCGCGGGCGTGGCCGACTGCGGCAAATTGACGCTCACCCGGCCAGCAGCCGATCAATCCTTGAGCCGCTGAGCGTTCTACACCAGTCGCCGATCTGAGGCGCGTGTCCCAGCGATTCCCTCCCGTCCGTCGTACCACTTTGCCTCAGCGTGCTGTTTCGGCACGGAGGCAAGGACCCCATGACTTCGATGACCATGAAATCAATGGCACAAATTCTGGGGAGTTGCGATGGGCGGCGGCGAGGCCTTTTTTTGCCTCCATGCGCAGCGGCATGAGGGTCCGGGCGGCGGTGGTCGCGGCGGCGGCGGCGGTGCTTTTCTCTGCGGCGGGCGCCTCGAGCGGGACCGCGAACGGGACAGCAGGACCTGAAGGTGCGCCCATCCTCGAACCCTGAAGAACCCTAAACCCTAAAACCAACCAACCGAAAACCAAACCAACCACTGTAACGTTATAGTTAACATAATGCTCCTGTTGGCATTTCGAAATGCCTCCTGAAGCAGCGGCTGCCACTGCAGATCTGTTCACTGACAACTCCCGGGAGTTGCACGGGGCCCCGTGCTGCTCCTCGATGGCCACCAGGGACTCATGCCGACGCTGCGCTCACCGACGTGCGAAGGCCACTGCATTTCATGTGCTTCAGCTTGAAGTTATATTGCATTAATTAATGCATGAGCGCATTAATGACTTCATTCATGCGTGAAATCGTGCTGCGCACATGCCTGGCGCCTATCTGATTCTAGCCGTATCGTCGTTCGAGGACAAAATAAGGGGTACAATAGGAAGGCCGGCAACGAATTTGGCGCCAACAGAACGTAGGAAATATGATGCGCCAATTTATGTGAGGAATCGTGCAAGGAAGTTGCAGTGCATCGCCTGTCGAAGCCGTCTGGTAGCCATGTGTTCCTGCACCACCTCGATTCGAGTTGCGTACTGGAACCGAATATGTTGCCATTCGCATGGGAGACTGGAACGCCATTCTGCTGGGCCATTATCAACTCGAAACGCCGAACTGGCCCAGCACTTCTCTCTCTCATGATGGTGGCTGCCATTCACGCCTTGCATCTCAGCCATAGTCTATGACACATATGCACGGAAACTCCGAAGTTGCCGAGAAGTTTAGACTGAGCGATGTTCACCCCACACAGTCGAATATGCAAATCAAATTTCTTAGTTGATTCTTAGTTGGTCACTCTTCTATGCAGTAGGCGCGGTGCCTGATGATTTGGCGTGTTTGGAGCTGACGCTGAAAGTCAACACGACGGCGTACCGGTCGGCAATCATGTCGTGCGCAGGAGCGGACCAGACAAATTGCTGCCGGGAGGTGTGCCACCGCCGATCTCATATGCAGTGTTTCGCTCTCCGTACCTGTGCGTCGCATTTAAATAAAGCGAAGCACGAGCTCAATTTCGAAAGCATATGTTATGCATTCGTGTTGGTCGTTATGCCAGAAAGGTTGATTTGCGAATGATGCATTGTTGTATCTCGCATGAGAGCTTTCGCTGGTGGACGCAAATCTCATGGATTTCATATGTGGATCCATAAAACATTTATGTAAATATAATTGATAAATCTACTTTGGGGCAGAACAAAACAACAATGTGGACAGCTTCCGTTCATTGCCAGCCGCGCGTAAATGTGTATTCCTGTAGTGATGACCTGCTTTTCAATTCCATTCTTAGTGACTTATAGCATCTTACATATCTGACGTGATGATTCATAAGTTTTCTCCAAGAGAAGTTTCGCTAACTTGATGATGGATGCCGTGCCTTCAGATGAAGCCCTTTTATGGTGCCAACGGATCACTCGCGAATTGTGAGTGAGTCATATCAACTTAGTCCAGCTAAGTGTCTCAGGCGCGCAGATATATGGTCAGATTCACTAGGAAAAGGGCCAAACAACGCGTGTTCTGACGTGTGCAAATTTTACGGGTTTGGGCTATTTCGTGTTTTCAACGTGCAGAACACTTATGCAAAGCGTATATATTGGTTCAAAAAGCGTTAATTTTTTTTGCTAGTGATTCCGTTAGCAAGATCACAACACTTTGGCAGCTCCATTGAATCTTGTATTGATCGCATTTGTGACTCATCTGGCGAAATGTCGGCGATACAAAATTTCTAGGCGGGGTATTTCGAAAATTTCCAGACGCAGAATTGCTGCACGCCGCTCTTGAAAATTACCTTTTCTTGCCTTCGGTTCCCTGTCCGAAATTCAGGTCAATCAATCGTTTTCAAATCTGTCAGAGTAGCAGATTTTGTCTTGCCAAAGTGAAAAGCGAAACAACGGGATCCTTTATGTTTCAGCCATACGGAAATTCTGGTCCCAGCGCCAGAATGTGCATCACTTTTTTCGCCCACATTCTTGCGGCAATTTTCTACGTTCGATCAATTTGTTTCGAGTAAGCGATAGGCCCTGCCCAACGCCCTTTGCTCGCAGCCCAAGCAGTGCGATCCGTGGCTTCATACAGAGGAAGTTGTCCAGATTGTGAAAATTGTCGCTTTGACTGCC